GTGTGGAAGAGTCTTTGTTATAATGGTGGAGTGACTGTTTGACTGCTTAAAGAAATGTAAAGATCAGGAAACACTCTTCTCTCCCCAGGCCTGGACGAGGTGGAGAGCATCTACATCTTTGCCGACAACGAGATAATCGAGTACGACGGCGAGTTGGCCTCAGACACGCTGGTTGAGTTCATCTATGATGTAAGAGATCTGTGGTCATTCCAGTTTTACACAGGATAGATGCAGTGTTGTTGGCACACCTGTATAAATATTCACTCATTCAGGTGATTGAAGAACCAGTGGAGATCATCGACAACGAGCGCGAGCTGAAGGGCTTCCACAACATCGATGAGGTCATCAAGCTGGTCGGCTACTTCAAGAGCGAGAAATCTCCTCGTAGGTTGAAGTTGACGAGCTTCAGATAATTTACAATAAATATTTCCTTCAATAATATTTTCTTCTGTCTTTTCTAGACTACATCGAGTACGATGATGCTGCTGAGGAGTTCCACCCCTTCGTCAAATTCTTCGCCACATTTGACCCCAAGGTTTGAACCGTTTGACTATTTTCAATTTCAAAGGCGAGCGATAGAACAAAAAAAAGTTCAAAATAATTTTCTGTTTGGTTCTCCTCTAAATTCACATGATTTCAGATCGCCAAGAAGCTGAAGCTGAAGATGAACGAAGTGGATTTCTACGAGCCGTTCATGGAGGACTCCGTCACCATTCCGGGAAAACCCTATATCGAGTCCGAGCTCGTGGAATACATCGAGCAGCACGACAGGTGTGTGGCACAAAAATAATTATACATCATGTTAAAATAACAAACATAACTAGACATCATGTTAACTTACATGATCTAAGACCAATCAGCTAAGGCCTCATTCTGCATAAACATAAGATCAGGATCTAAATCTGAAATGTTTTGACGCTTCAGGCCCACTCTGAGGAAGCTCGAGCCTCACAGCATGTACGAGATCTGGGTAAGAGACGAATCTGTAATCAGAGAGATTAAACAGCAGCTGATCTAAAGACATATGTCACATCGGTGCCTTGTCCCCTTGTCTCTGTTTACAGGAGGACGACATTAACGGAGAGCACATTGTTGCCTTTGCTGAGGAGGATGATCCTGGTTAATTGATATATATCATATAATATTCATTGCTCTTTGTTTATAGTTATAGCTCTGCACCCCCCACCCCCCGTACCTGACCTTTGACCTTTTCTCTAGATGGTTTTGAATTCCTGGAAATCCTGAAGGAGGTGGCACGTGAGAACACCGACAACCCAAACCTCAGCATCATCTGGATCGACCCCGACAACTTCCCCTTGGTAT